AGATACAGCTTTCCAGGGGTCTGATCCAGTGCCTCCCAACATGGGCCCTTAGGCAGCCAGAACTACCACCCCCTTAGCTCTGGAAGTCACTGCTGAATCTAGAAGCTGAAGTGACATCTGTTGGGTCTCAGCTCAGGAGCTGAGTGCACTGGGGCTGTTTCACAGCACTGTCCCAGCACACAGCATGGCACAGCCTCAGAGCAAAGCACTCCTGTCCTGCCTGAGGGAGGGACAGAGGTGTCAGGAGCTCCTGCCTGCTGACAGCAGGGGTGCTGTGCCCCATCCCACCCTGAGCCAGCCCCTCTGAACTCACCCCTTGAAGACCTGCTGCTGTCCTCTGTCCAGGCCCTTCTGAGCTGTGTCCTTCAGAATGGTCCTCATGCCCTTATCCACAGACACCTGGGCAATGCCAGCTCCCATGAGTCCTGCTCCCAGCACAGCCAGAGTCCTGCACAGGGAAGGACCAAGAGGACAGACTGAGAGCTGGAAAGAGCTGAATTCTCATCGCTACTGTCACAGATCCTGTCCATACAGGCACCGTCTTTAGTGAGGCTATGCAAGAGTGGGACCTCCAATCTGCAGAGGATCAGCCCCCTGGGGGCTGGAAATCTCTGCTCTGCCACACTGCTCTCCAGGACTCCAGGCCACTGGGTCCCTTTGGAGGTACTCCAAGTGCTCCTTCAGGCATCCCATGCTCAACTTACTTGACCTCTCGCTGAGGTGTTCCAAACTTGTTCTTCTTGCACTGCACCTGCCCATGGTAGAGTCCCATCAGTGCCTTGGATTCCTTCGTCAGTGCAAGATGGCCGAAGCTCTGGAACAAAGGGAAGAGGGAAGCAGAGAGTTTGGCAGTTAGCAGCTGTCTCACTGCCAGCACACCAAAACCATGGCCGGGGAGGGCACAGCCACTGCCTGACTGCACAGGGCAGTGACCTGGTCAGAAATGGAAGGGACAGTGTGAGCACTGCAGAGAGGCACATTCTGGGATAAGCACAGCCCAATCCACACCACCACCTCCTCCCCAGCATCAGGAGGATGTGGAGCTGCTGGAGCAGGTCCAGAGAAAACCACAGAGATGCTCCGAGAGCTGGAGCAGCTCTGCCCTGGAGCCAGGCTGGGAGAGCTGGGGGTGTTCACCCAGAGAGGAGAAGAGAAGCTCCAGGGAGACCTCAGGGCCACTTCCAGTGCCTGAAGTGGAGAGGTGCAGGCTGCAGAGGGACTTGGGACCAGGGATGGAGGGACAGGGCACAGGGAATGGCTTCCCACTGCCAGAGGGCAGGGACAGGGGGGTACTGGGAAGGAATTCTTCCCTGTGAGGTGCTGAGGCACTGGCATAGGTTGTCCAAAGTAGCTGCCAGCCCTGGGAGTGCTCCAGGCCAGGCTGGATGGGGCTTGGAACCACCTGGGCTGGTGGGAGGTGTCCCTGCCCAGGGTAGGGGGTGGCACTGGGTGAGCTGTAAGGTCCCTTCCCACACAAACCAATGCAATTCTAAATGTGCTTGCAAAAGGCAGCAGGAAACTGCTTGTTCAGGGCCCTTTCCCATGAACAGCACAAATTAAAGCATCTGAAGGAGTGAGAACCTCTGCAGTGACTCTACAAACAGGTCAGTTCTCACTGACAGCAGTAGCCTCATCTTACTTTTGGAGGACCACAGATGGGCAACAAAA